AAACTAGGATGAAGTAATCTTTTTGTGACTTTCAAATCCGAAGTCCTTTTTGGGACTCCGGATTTGAAATGTATGTTTATATATATATATATATATATATATATATATATATATATATATATATATATATATATATATATATATATATATATATATATATATATATATATATATTATATATATATTAAGGTGTCCCACTTTTAACCTGATCAAAAAAGTTTCACATGCACCCTATCTCAATCATTCTTATTTGGTCAAAAAAATTTTAAGGTCTCCAAGTCAAGGGGATCCAGTTACTTATCAAGGTATTTTTATATGCTAGGTTGCATGGAATTATTCGCCCCCTTCTTCTCGGTGCCCCTAATTTATGGATTGAATAGTAGAAAATTGTCTATTTTACATTTATTTTTGTTCTGGAAAAAGAAATCTTTCATTTAAGAGGTAATACCTGTACATATTGGTCATTTAAAGACAAATAAAGTCAAAAAAAAAAACTACATAAAAACTACATAAAATCACTTTTTTTCATATCTTTTCCAGCCTCTTTTCGGTTTTTTTGCACAACTTGCAATGTATCCTGTAGAAGACCTTCTTTATGACTTTCAGCCACAAAATCTTGCTCAAGTTTTATGTGGCGCTCAGCTCTGTCATTTACTACTTCTAGATTCTCGATCTGATGTTGAAAATGTTTTTAGGAATCATTTTTAAAGTTATCCTTTATCCATGTGTTAATTACTCCCGTATTTATACCTAGGTATGTGAAGAGCAGCCAGAAATCCTTAGTGATAAAATCGGACAAAACTGATATGGGAACCACATCAGATGGAGGTTGAGGTTGTTCCCTTTCAAAATCATCAGGTTGCGGATATTTAAAACCAAGCAGCTTCTGAGATAGTCCAGCTCTTTCCTTCAGTCCTAAATATCTATTTGCTATTAAAAGAACAACTAGCTGTGGGGTCAGGAACCAACTATGAAGAACCAGGCTTGCATGGAGCAGCTTTCCCAGGGGGCCATACTTAAATATATATATATATATATATAGCTTATTGCTCATCATTTCATAAGCTAGCTTAAAAGCATCCAAATCGTGTGATGGAGCCTGGCCGCCATAGGAGACTTTTAAAAGTATGCTCCTTAAAATGTGACAATAAAGTCAGTTGACAGTTCAAGCATATCTTTCTCACTTTTATTCAGCATTAAATCAATCTTCGAAGTCAGCTACATTGTAAGCAAGTATAGACATACAGCCATAAACCTTGCTTGATGGTGGGCACCTGGTTGTTTGAACTGGAAACCAGGTACAAGGCCACCAAGGTAAATCACTATTAGCTCACAAAGAACTTTATAATCTCCTCTTTGAAAGCAATCTTGTTTTAGGGCTGTTATGCAGAAATTCTTAGTATCTAATACCCTTCTATGAAAATCAGTACCTACCATATACTCCTCTCTCCCATAATTGAAAAAAAGCAACTGATCAACATTATTTGCCCTTTCTGCTATTTTTGGCCAGAATTTTTGAAAATCTTTATATATTGCACGTGATGGAAATTTTGTTGAACCTTGAATATAATCCGTTGCATGGGAAATATGCTTTTCAGATATATGGTGTCTTTAAAGATCAATTTTCCAAAGGTATAAAATGCAATAATTTTGCAACAGTTTTGTGCAACAATTTCGTGCAACAATTTCGTGCAACAATTTTGTGCAACAGTTTCGTGCAACAAACTTTTAAAATATGTTATCAAAATAATTTAATTACCTACAGAGCAGCCATAGCAAAGGTTTTTTAAGCACATGATCCATCAAGAACTTAATTGCCTCTTTGTATTTTCCAATATTAGAGGCCGTTGTATCGGCACTACATCCAATGATCTGGTCAATGAATTCATAATACTCTAACATGTTCTGAATAACTATAGCTTGATCCTGCCGTTTAGATGACTTAATTTCTAGAACTCCTTGCAAAAAATCTAAGCGTTCATTGACCTGGGGGAATGATATGTTGAGAGCACGCCGTTTTACAGTTTCAGACGTTTTTTGATCAGTTCGATAGTGTTTGACCAGTTTTGTATCAAAATGAATGATGACCTTTAAACCCCGAACTTTGTCCAGATTTTCTTCTTTCACTAATCTAGCTTTACTTTCAATCACAATCTTTTTGTTTCTATGTAGACTACTCTTTGATACCGGAACTGTATTTAGATCAACACCACCAACCTTGAAAAGTGAGAACAAAAGTGAAGTTTCAGCTCGAACACTGACCTTGTACCTAGTCAAGAATGGAATCCACTTGTCAAGAACATCATTCATTGAAAGCTCCATGTAAACTCTATCTTCACTGATCTTCTTTTTTTTTTTTTGGCAAGGCTCAAAATCACTGTCAGTATCAGTGGCACTCATACCACTTGAAGATAGTTTTATCTCAAAATCTTTCATCCTTTCTATGTCCTCTATAGCTTTTTTCTTTGACATTTCTCTTTTTTCTTTTTTATGTTGCTCTTCTCTACGCATACTTTCTATCATATCTAACATTCGTTTTTCCCCGCCTATGATTTTTTCATGATAAGATTTCCCAGTGTCAAACTTAATATTTAGTGTTTAACTCAATATTTTTTGTCTTTGTTTGCTTGTCTCTATTTTCGTCATCTCTTATAATTTTTAAGATATCTGTTTTATAAACAGGAAAAATACAGTTTGCTTCTTTTGTAAAACTCTCTGTTTTTGTTTTATATTGCTCTTCTTTGATCTTGTTTATTTCCATAAGGGTTCTAAGACTACACAGTTTCTTGTAGCATTCATAAGATTTCTCAAGCTTCTTCTTCACTACTTGTTCTGTAACCCGAAATCTTGAATCAAATCCACCCTTGTCCCAAAGACTTCACAGTTCTCTTAAAATGCGTACTCCAGTAAAGTCTCCCCTGTTACTTTTCGTACACTCCCCTCCAATGTAAAACATAGATCTTGACATTGTCTTTTGTGCACAGGATAGTTTTGCGTTATTTTTACTTGCTCTGAGCCAATATATTTTACGACAAACTTCTCCCAGTGTGGGTAGTCTAAAAAAAATTCAAAAAAATGTCTTTACATATTTGTTTCAAAAGCTTTTTACCTCATAAAAGCTTTTCCAATTTATTATTTTAATTAAATTTTAAAATAATACCTGTTTGGTGCAAATATATGTACTTTTACACCTATTAGTTCTCTGTGGAGCTAAACTGATGTTAAAGGATGTACTTGAGGTTTCTAGTTGACAATCCCTGCTAGTCGTAAGAGAGGTATATCTCATTGGAGGAGGGCTTCTGAAACGTGCAGTAACTAAGGAGCTTTCCTCATTTTTTTCTCTTACAGTACTCCGACCATTTCTAGTCCTTGCAGATTTACGAGGAAGTCCATCTTTATCATCATCAGCCATTATATATTTTAAGAAATTTGTTATCTGAAAAGTATAAAATGTAAGGGTATTTAAATATTTTACATAAAAACAATTATTTGAATAGAGAAATAATGCCACTAAAACGATGACAAACTATTGCAAAACAACATATTTGAATCAAGACTATCTGACTTTACTCATCAAAGACATAATATTTCAATTTTTGATTAAAAATCTCATAATTTCTAAAATTGGATAAAAATCATATTAAGATGTAATTTTTATGTGATTTTCGACTTTATTTGTCTTTAAATGACCAATATGTACAAGTATTACTTCTTAAATAAAATATTTTTTTTTCCAAAACAAAAATAAATGTAAAATAGACATTTTTCTACTATTCAATCCATAAATTAGGGGCACCGAGAGGAAGGGAGGCGAATAATTCCATGCAACCTAGTATATAAAAATACCTTGTACTGGATCCCCTTGACTTGGAGACCTAAAAAAATTTTTGGTGGGTCCTGGGACCAAACAAAAATGATTGAGATATGAGGGTGCATTTGAAATATTTTTGGTCAGGTTAAAATATATATTTATTTATATTTTAAATCATGTATACTTATATATTTTGAAATATATATATATATATAATATATATATATATATATATATATATATATATATATATATATATATATATATATATATATACATACATACATACATACATACATACATACATACATACATACATATATAATATATATACATACATACATACATACATACATACATAATATACATACATACATACATACATACATACATACATACATACATACATACATACATACATACATACATACATACATACATAATATATATACATACATACATACATACATACACGTATATGTATTAGTAAAAAAACTAATTTTTTTCTTCAACATTTTGTTTGAACATCAGTATTTTTATCAGGAAACTTCCTGATGAACCTACTGATGGTGAAACAAGTTGTCAAAGAAAAAATAAGATGAGTGTTTTATTTTGTTTTATTTTAAGTTGTCATAGAAAAAATAAGATGATGTGTTAATAACTAGTGATGTACCGATTGCACATTTTTGGCCGATGCCGATACCGATGCCGATGGATAGGAAAAGGCCGATACCGATGCCGATACCGATAGATTAACTAGCTATTATAATTTGAAAATATAAAAACTATATAACTTTAAATCGTTAAAATTTTTCATGGAATCAGAACTGATAAGTAAATACTTGGACCCAAATCAGAGTCAAACCTTTATTTTAAAAGATATTAGAAAAGCTTAATCAAATAAATATACATTTTTTACTTTTTTTTAACTATGAAAAGAAAACTTTCAAAAAATAAATACAATTTTAGAGGAACACTTTTTATTTCAATTTTAAAAAGAAAATGTTATTAAGATAAGCAGTTTACTTAGAATTTTAGGCTCTTTATAAAAAAACAAATAAAAATAACCTTTATAACATGAAATATATACATTTTCTCAAAATAAAATAAGAGACTTCAAAATCAAATACAAAAGAAAATAATAGCATTAAGATTCTAAAGGAAGCACCAATAGCAGTTGTAACAATATTTAGTATTTAAAATTGTGTATACGAATATTGTAATGTAAAAACATAAGCATTTCTCCTGTTTCCGGAGCCAACCTACTTCGTCGTGGAGAATAAATTTGTCCTCCACAACTAAATAATCGTTCACTTTCAACAGAAGATGGAGGGCATGATAAATATTTCTGAGCTATTGGAGCTAATTGTTTGAAGTTATTTCTATTTGCTCCCCACCATACTATAGGACTATCTTGTTGCATGATTATGTCTTGACTCAAATACATTAAAACTTCATTTTTCAATTTTATATAATGTTTGCTTTCTGTTTCTTGCAGAACTTCAGATATAGATGTGTTTTCAATTAAAGTGTTTTTATTTTTAATAAAATTTTCAAAGCATTTTGAAAAATCGAAATCTAGATTTGTTGTACTTGATGAAGAACTGACCTCAGGTTGAAATTCAATATGATCATTTTGTTGAAAACTTTTTGAGCAATCTACAAGCCATTTAATAATATTTTCAAGATAACTGTCAGCTACTTCGGTTGGAAAAAAATTATTTTTATACCTTGGATCTAAAAATGTGGCTAAAATGAGATTTTTGTCATTGAGATATTTTTCAAATTTTTCATTTGCTGAGTTTTTACATTCTTTTAAAATGGTTCCTAATCCAAAAAACAAGGGAGACTTTTCAGCTTGAATTAACATGGTTTGTATAACTTGTACAGTTGGAATTATAGCAGATGCAATTGCTTCACGCTCACTTAAAAAATTTGTTATATCATTAAACATTTTTTAAAATTGTTGTAATTTTTCTAAAATAATCCATTCATTGTTTTCCAAGGACTTTAGTTTAGAGTTATCATTATCACAACAAAATGGAATTAAAGCACGCTTCTGTTCAAAAATTCTTTCAAACATAAAGTATTGACTATTCCATCTTGTTGCAATGTCTTGTTTAAACCTATTTTGTGGCACTTGATATTGAGTTTGATATTTTCGATACGCTTCAAAAGAAGATGGAGAATGATTAAAATGGGTTACTATGTTTTTACAAGTTGTTGATATCTTTTTGATATATATCTGGGCAAATACAGTGTCATTCAACACAAGTTGCAAAGTGTGTAAAAAACACGGCAAGCTATTGTAACCTGCCTCTCTTATTCCAGTTGTCATATTAGCTGCATTATCTCTAGCAACTAAATGTACCTTTGAAGCTGGAATAAAAAAATCATTCATAGAACTTTGAATTGCTTCGCATATATTTTTGGCAGTATGAGATACATTAAATTGACAAACTCGAAGAACTGCTGACTTTTGATGAAATTTATTAGTTAACCAATGAGCTGTCAAGCTAAGAAATGAGCATTTTCCGTTGGTAGATGCCCATCCATCAGTTGTAAATAAAATGTAAGAAGCATAATTTATTTCTTTTTGGATATTTTGTCTGACTTTGTCATATATATTTTGAAAAACAGTGTTTTTAATGTACTTTCTACTTGGTATACAATAGTTAGGACATATATGATTTAGTAATCTTTGAAATCCGATGTCTTCTACTATTGAAAAAGGTTGAATATCAACTGCAATCATTTCTGCAATATAGTTATTAATTAATTTAGATCTGTGATCATTAATGTCCCAGGGTTTTTTTCTCGCAAGTGTTTCAAACAAAGTTTGTTGGGACTGTTTTGAGCAACTTGCTTCAGTTGACTTGATTTTCTTGAACACATTTTTTTCACTTTCTGCTTTCCTTTTGTTTTCTTCTTCGTTAAGTTTTAACTCTTTGCTTGCTATTTCTTTATGCTTTGTATTTATATGACACAACATATTTGTTGTGTTAAAAGATTTAGATTTTTTTTCTTTGTTACCTCTTGAAACCTTCAGTTTGCATGTATTACATATTGCAATTGAGGTATCTTCAGGAGAAATGGTAAAATATTTCCACACCCAACTACGCGATTTTATTGGAATACCTTTTCCAAACAAAGCTGCTGCCATTCTGAGTATATTTTTGATTCAGTAACTTTATTAATTTATTACTTATTAATTTATTAGTAATTTAGATATCTAAACAACAATCATATAGAAATATAGAAGGCAATACTTGGATACATAAAGATAACAATGCTTAAATAGGTTACTTTTAAGTATAACAATAGAACAATACAAAATAATATTATTTTAAAAACAACATTACGGTAATAAAAGTATAAATACATTCAGCTGTTAAATTAAAGCTTATAAACATCATCTTAAGAAAAACAAATTTGCCTGTAAACAAAGTCATTATAAAAAATTTCTCAAAAAAAATCTAAGTAATATATAAAGTTTAGTTTATTTATTATTTAGTTTTTATCATAATGTGGGATAAAAATATAAAAATGCCATCGGTTGGAAAATCGGTAAATTGATAAGGAAAGACCGATGCCGATACCGATACCGATTGTGCAAAAAGTGGCCGATTAAGCCGATGCCGATGCCGATGCCGATTAATCGGTACATCTCTATTAATAACCAATATAAATAAAGTAGTAGTTAAACATATAAACACTGGATATGAAGTATTTATTTCTTTTATTGTTACTATTAAGTAATTTTAATGAAGATACACTAAATTTAAGTTAAATTAAAAATAGTATACTTAAATTTAGCTTTTAGCACTAGAGGCTAAAAGCTAAATTACTGAAAATTTTGAAAGACCTCTAGAGCTAAAAAATATTAAAGTTAAATTTAGTTTGAGTTTAACATCTTCAATAATTTCAACATTTGCTTCAAGGCACTTATTTATTTGCACGGCAAGTTGAATAGTATGTGCATAAATATACATTTTTCAAAGAATATATGAGTTATGGTCTATATACTATTTTTAATTTGATTATAAATTCGAAAACAACAAAATTCTCTAATAAAAAAATTGCGCTAAAATAAAATAACAGGATTCGAAAATGACCGAAAACTTTTTCAACATTAAAACCTGTAACACACTATATAGTGTGTTACATACTATAATATAGTAATACAACTGATATATATAATAATAATAATATAGTAATACAACTGATATAATACAATTGATTTTAGAATGCGTATAAACGCATGTTACACACTATATAGTTTATATAGTGTTTTATACGCATTCTAAAATCAGTAGTATTACGACGTTGGCCCAAAGATGTTTCGACGTTAGTGCGTAGTTAAAAAAGTTTCCCAATGTTTCCCACGTTGTTCCGACGTTGGCCAACGTTTAGCCAACGTATGCGTGCTAGCTGGGGCAGCACGAACTGGGGTTTAGATATATTTACTGATCCATCACTTAAAACACTTTAAATGTTTTTTGTAGAACAATATTGTATTATGGTACTGACGCTTGTCATCTAAACAAGAGTGAAATTTAACAATTTCAAACACTTGAATAAAATACGGCAAAAAGCATTATGGGTATCCGTAAAAAACCAGAAGTACGCAATTTTTGGCTGCACTAAAAATAGAACCCACAGGATTAAAAATTGATATTGTCATTTGTTTCTTGTTTGAACGAATAATGAAGAACAGAGTCACAAGTGAAATAATTCTTTCGATTTATAATGAGAAGCATAACATTCCTGTCCATGGTACATATGATAACCTTATAACACAATTAATAGATATAAAAAAAGATATAGTATTACGAATGCTCAATGCAACTCAATCGAACTTTATTATGGCCCTTACGAATCAGTAATAAGAAAAAATATTTTTATCTGCATTCTTTAAAGAATTGATTGACCTTAAAAAATCTTAAGAAAAAAAAAGAAAAAACGCATTCAATTACTTAACTCTGAAATTGCTGAAACAATTAGCTTTTTGCATTTACAAAAACATATTGGAATCCGGAAATACGAAAAACATTAAAATATTAATTAAAGCGAATAATGATGTTCACTAACTTTTTACTTATAATCAATTTATTTATGCAATTTTGATAAAACTATTGTAAATTATTCATCGCCCACGTGGACGACCGAATCGGCGCGAATTTCATAAGTGCGAACAGGCATAAGTGCGAATGGCGTAAGTGCGAACTGGCACATATGCGTATTGGAATAAGTGCGAACCCGCATAAGTGCAAAGCAGTTACAAAAACTAGCACAAGTGCGAGTTGGCATAAGTGCGCCAAAAGAATTTCCAAACATTGGCATAAGTGCGAACTGTCATAAGCGCAAACTGGCATAAATGCAAAGCTTTTATAAAAACTGGCACATGTGCGAACTGCCATAAGTGCGAATTGGTGCGCCGAACAAACTTGCAAACATTGGCATAAGTGCGAATTGCCATAAGTGCGAAGCAGTTACAGAAACTGGCATAAGTGGGAACTGACATAAGTGCAAATTGGCATAAGTACTTCGAATAAAATTGCAAATGTTGGCATAGGTGCAAATTTTTATTTCGCTTTCATGTCAGTTCTTCGCACTTATGCCAGTTCGCACTTATGCCAATGTTTGCAAATTTGTTCGGCGCACTTATGCCAGTTTGAACTTGTGCCAGTTTTTACAACTGCTTTGCATTTATGCGAGTTCGCACTTATGCCAATGTTTGCAAATTCTTTTGGCGCACTTATGCCTATTCCCACATATGTCAGTTCGTACTTATTTCAGTTTTTGAATACATTTTAAAATTGTTTCACTGAGTAAAATCTTGTGGTTATGTGAACTATTTATAGATTTTACGCTTTGCAAACAGCTACAACTAACATTGATTGAGTATTTTGTGAAATTTATTGTTTACTGGTAAGTGCAATTAATGTTAGTAAACGGCTGCATATTTTTGTTTCCACATTCTGACTAAATGGAGGGTTGTACAATATCACTTTTTGCTTTTGATTTATATATAAATTTATATATATATATACACATATATATAAATTTATATATATACATATATATATATATATATATATATATATATATATATATATATATATATATATATATAAATATATACATACATACATTTATATATATATATATATATATATATATATATGTATATATATATATATATATATATATATATACATATATATATATATATATATATATATATATATATATATATATATATATATATATATATATATATATATATATATATATATATATATATATATATATATATATATATATATATATATATGTATATATATAAATTTATATATATGTGTATATATATATATATATATATATATTTATATATATATATATATATTTAAACAATTTGAAAATGTATAGTATGAGTAGGAAATCACTTAGCAAAAATATTTTTTTTCATTTAACACTGTGTTTCATCAATAAAAACTCATCAGAAATGAATTATCAAATTAATAAAACTTCAACTTACAAAATATATATATATATATATATATATATATTTATATATATATATATATTTATATATATATATATATATGTATATATTTATATATATATATATATATATATATATATATATATATATATATATATATATATATATATATATATATATATATACATACATACATATAAATATATTATAAATAAAAAAATAATACCTGTCAAAACAAATTGCAGTGAAATACGGCATTGACGTATCCCACTGCATTTTGTTTTGTCAGGTGTTTTTTGCATTTTATTGACTCAATATATGCCAAAAAAGTTTTATGTAAAACTTTTTTATCAATGTAGCTATTAATAAAATGATCTAAATTTGTGGTGCTGAATCCCTAGAAAAAAAGCTCTATAGAATTTTTATAAACTTTTAAATTATATGGCCTATAAAAATTCTATAGATTTTTTATAGGCATTGACATACCAACGATAAATACTTGGTTGAATACAGTACCTTTGGTATAACCGAAAGTACTGTATTCAAATTCAAGTGTCTAAAAAAAAATAACCATCTTTTAGAAAATTTATTTCACAAGTAGCAACAACTTTATTTTAAAACTGCAACTATCTATTACAGTTATTGATATCTTTTTAAATAGTATAAGATTTCATCTCCTAAATTTTTTTAAAAAATGTTATTTTCAATACCTCTTTTTAACAAAGTTGCATATTTGCAATAAATCATAAAACAGTAACGAATTTGTAAAGAACTTCGTAACTTATTTAAAAACGTAAAGCTTAAAAAGTTGAACTACATTAAGACTGCTTTCATTAACTGTAAGCCTAAAGTATGTGTTGAAGGGCTCGTAAATGAATTTCCTCAATAGCCTGTTTTCTTACTTATTCACTATCAATCTTTTCTGAAATATTAGCAGAAGCTTAATCTTGTTCTTGCTAACGGCATGGCAACCGCTAGTCTAAACAAAGCCCACAATCAGACTATGCTTTACACTGCAAAATCAGTTTGTTAAACCGCTCTCGAACGCATTAATACAACTATAAATTTAATTACAAATTCTTTTTCAATATTAATAAAACAAAACAAAAAATGTAAATAATGTAGTTTTAAGTTTCTTATTAAAAGAAAAACATTATGCGAAACAAAAAGTAAAATAATTTTTGAAATGTAGGAAGTTTTAACATTTTTGATACAATGAACAGTTTTTAAATAAAACTTGAAGTCTAAGAAAAGATATAATCATTTTTAAACCAAAAAAGTTTTCTTTTAGTAGGCGAGACAAACTTTGATGGCGCAATTTTGTCAGACTCCAATGTGTTATAGTTTAACCATGAGTTCAAATACTTCTTTGAGCCGTAAACCCTTTCAAATGTATTAGGTTCTGTTTTAAAATCATATTCTGTAGGTTTTTCGACTTTAAAATCATATTCTATAGGTTTTTCAATTTTACTGACAAAACGGTTATTTAAGTACTCCTTTGCTTTAAAATTTTGTGGTTCTTTGAAATAAGAAATTTTTTTGAAAGTAGGAATTTTATTTTGTCTATAGCTAACGGTATCAAAGAGATCTCCTGTCCTGGAATCATAAAAGTTTGGTGAAAATTTGTCGTGTCCTTCATTTAACCATGAAGGTAA